TACGTCAACCAGCACGACGGCAACAACAAGCACCAGCAGTACCAGTACGTCAACTAGCACGACGGCAACCACAAGCACCACCACCACTAGTACGTCAACTAGTACCACAGCAACGACAAGCACAAGTAGTACCAGCACGTCAACTAGTACCACGGCAACCACAAGCACTAGCAGTACCAGTACGTCAACTAGCACGACGGCAACCACAAGCACTAGCAGTACCAGCACGTCAACTAGTACCACGGCAACCACAAGCACTAGCAGTACCAGTACGTCAACTAGCACGACGGCAACCACAAGCACTAGCAGTACCAGTACGTCGACGAGTACGACAGACACCACAAGCACTAGCAGTACCAGTACGTCAACTAGCACGACAGCAACCACAAGCACATCCAGTAGCAGTACGTCAACCAGCACGACGGCAACCACAAGCACATCCAGTACCAGTACGTCGACGAGCACGACGGCAACCACAAGCACATCCAGTACCAGTACGTCAACTAGTACTACGGCAACAACAAGCACCAGCAGTACCAGTACGTCAACTAGCACGACAGCAACCACAAGCACCAGCAGTACCAGTACGTCGACGAGTACGACAGGCACCACCAGCACGAGCAGTACCAGTACGTCAACTAGTACCACAGCAACGACAAGTACAAGCAGTACCAGCACGTCAACTAGTACGACGGCAACGACAAGCACCAGCAGTACCAGTACATCGACGAGTACGACAGACACCACTAGCACCAGTAGTACAACCAGTACCAGTTCCTCAACATCGACGAGTGATACGACGAGCACGTCTAGCAGCAGCACTTCAACGTCGACGACGGAAACCAGTACTACATCCAGCACCAGCACATCGACATCCACTACAGGTACCACTAGTACATCCAGTAGCACCACCGATACCACGAGCACCTCTAGCAGTAGCAGTACGACCAGTACGACAGACACGACTAGTACATCCAGTAGCAGCACTACGACTAGTACCACAGATACTACAAGCACCTCTAGTACTACCACATCAAGTACGAGTACCTCGACTAGCACCACTGACACCACTAGCACTTCGAGTACCAGTACCTCAACTAGTACTACAGACACCACTAGCACATCAAGTACCAGTACCTCAACTAGTACTACAGACACCACTAGCACATCAAGTACCAGTACATCGACTAGCACCACTGACACAACCAGTACTTCGAGTACCAGTACCTCAACTAGTACTACAGACACCACTAGCACATCAAGTACCAGTACCTCAACTAGTACTACAGACACAACCAGTACTTCGAGTACCAGTACATCGACTAGCACCACTGACACAACCAGTACTTCGAGTACCAGTACCTCAACTAGTACTACAGACACCACCAGTACTTCGAGTACAAGTACATCGACTAGCACTACCGATACCACTAGCACATCAAGTACGAGTACCTCAACTAGCACTACAGACACCACTAGCACATCAAGTACCAGTACATCGACTAGTACTACTGACACCACCAGTACTTCGAGTACCAGTACCTCAACTAGTACTACAGACACCACCAGTACTTCGAGTACGAGTACCTCAACTAGCACTACCGATACCACCAGTACTTCAACTAGCACTACAGACACCACTAGTACATCCAGTAGTAGCAGCTCCACCTCCACCACAGACACAACCAGTACTTCGAGTAGCACATCGACATCGTCTACAAGTAGTACCACTACTGGTAATACATGATAAGTGATCAGTGTTTGGAGGATCTGCATAGATTGTTCGATTGGGGAAGGAGAAATCTGTAAGGAGGAAAAGTAGACTGATATGCTGAGTGTCAGTCGCTGAAGGCTTTTGGAAGAGCGGGTGTGGAAGCCTGTTATAAATGGAAAAAGCTTGTAGAGAATATGAGTATGGCATAGAGGAAATCTGCTTGAAGAGAATAGCATCTGCAGAATGTAGATAATGCTGAGGCACGTGGTAGAGAAATAAAATAGAATCAACCGCGAAATGGAGTTTGGATGAAGTGTTATTGTTTGATCTATATGATCTTTGCTTTGTTTTCTAGCGTTACCAACGGAATTGGATGTTGTGGTGGATACTGCAGAGCCTTTGTGGAATACATCTGTTAATGGAATTAGTACTGTGGCGGTGGCTGGCACTGTCGTCGGTACTTATGTTAGTTCTGAGCCAGTTGCTAAGCTCTTCGACGATAATCTTGCAACTCGTTTCACCAGTCGTGTTAATGCAACTAACGTTGGTTATCTTGCTGGCCTCTATACAGGATTTCATGCTACTGTTGCACAATGTAATGCTGTACTCATCGGATTTCAGATTGGCTGTGCTAATAACAGTATAAATCGTGATCCGACTAGCATCAGTATTGAAGGAACTAATTGTGATGATCTATCAACGTGTACCAATTGGACACAACTATACAGTGGACCATCGGGTCTCAGTTCGCGAACCGGAAGTCCAATGTACGGTGAATATCAAGCCATTTCCAATATGGCAACTTTTGATAGTTATCGCTTTTTGGTAACAAATCAACGTGGCGCAAGCAGTCTTGTGAGTTACAGTGAAGTTCGACTGTTTGGATACACGAATTATACAGGAAGTTCATCGAGTGGATCAGCAAGTAAGTGATAGATTCTGGTGAGAAAAAAAAGTGAAGAATTGGATTAACTGTTGTGCATAGGTTCGTCGGTAGCTCTAACAATCAAGCCAGGATCAATAGAAGCTTTATGGAATTCGACACTGAACCAGCCAAGTTTACTGGCAACTCAAGCTTCATCGGGTGTGGGAGTATATAGCATTACTCAAGGGCCGGACAAATTATTTGACGGCGATACTACCACGAGATATACAAGTCGTGGTTATTCAAACACATCGAGTAAGTATGCTGGTCTGAACACGGGTTTCTTTTTCACCATTGCACGTTGTCAAACAACACTGAGCAAATTTCGATTTGCTACGGGTATATCAGGTGCCGCTACCGATCCAACTAACGTCACTATAGAAGGAACGAATTGTACTACTGCATTGACCTGTACCGACTGGGCACTCATATATGATGGTCCGACTGGATTATTATCTATTGCCAATCGTAGTACATACGGTGATTGGCAAATTATATCTTCGCCCTATGCGTACCCAAGTTATCGTTTCACTATTATGGGTAAAAAGGGCACCAGTTCTTTTGTATCATATAGTGAAGTTGATCTTTACGGTTATTAATGCTTTTCATCCTTTTGAATTGGTAATTCGATAACTATGCTGAATAGTTATTAAAAAAAAATTTTTTTCAATCTTAACCATTATAATAAACATTTCAAGCTTTTGTTTTTCGCTTATTGACCATTTATTCTCACTGCATTGCCTTCTCGAACACTTGTTTTCTTAATTCTTAATAAACTTGAAGAAAAGCAGTTTTACATCATCATTTATCATCGAGATGGATTTGATAAATCTACTCTAAGTGTTACAAAAAATAATTAGAATTAACTAATAGTATAAGATATCATTATGCTTTTAAGAGATATTTTTTCTCTTTTTATTCTTAGTGAGTGGATTGATAAAAGAAAATGTAAGTTGTCAGACAAACAGAACGAGATGGGAGTATAACATAAAAACTAATATGCAACTTTGACATGCAATAGCTACTTCCTTTGATACGGACTGACACAAAAAAGAGGAAGACTTCCGTTTGTCTTTCTGCGATTATTATTTTTTCTTTTAGAAGAAAAAAGAAAACACACCTATAATTATAGATATTGCGAAGTTTCTTTTTTAGAATGATTTTTTTCTCAAGAAAATATCGTTAGAAAAGAGCTTCTATTTCAATTAAACAAATGTGTTTGAAGGAGACACTTTTCATTGTCAATTTTCTGCAATGGCATTAATCATCTTGGCATAGATACAAAAAACTAGAGCGAGTCACGATGAATTCGCTAGTTGTAGAGCAATTAGATGCTATTCTTCATATCGGTGATCTTGAATTGATAACCGTGAAATAATTGAAAAAGATCGCGTAGTTTTTACCATTGTTGGAACATTCCGTTTGTTGTTATTATTGTTTTAATTAAGAAAATGCGTTCCACAGAAACTCCTGTCATTCCTATCTTGTTTGATGTAAAGTCATGAGGATTTTATGCCACTCCGTAAGACAAATTTGGCAGTACGACTTCGCTAATGTTCAACGTTGACAACAAATTATTTTCATTCGTATGAATTCATTTGGGAGGATGTTTTTTAGCAACGACTTTTGTTTTTTTTTGTAAACAGGAAAAATGTTTGAAAAGAGAAAGAAAAAGAAGAGATACATCGATGTGGAAATATTCTATTTAAGTATATTAGATGTTCTACCATCCAGTTAGCAGTAGTCCTCTTGTTGAATGACAAACTCAATTCAATTTCAGTTAGACAATGATTGAAATGCGATAGGCTAAGAATTGATTGGTAAGTTCGAGCGAGATGGTTAGTTGTCAATGAATTTCGATTGTTTCTTCTTAACAGCAACAAAACATCGTTTTTTCATAATTTCTAACGGATATAATTAAAGTAAATGGAACTCGCTTTGATAATGTTTTATTAAATGTAAGTAAAAGCATTATTTTCAACAAGGTGCTTGTCTACACCTTCTACCGTAGCATACTTTCCTTCAAACACTTTTCCATTTGTTAGATGAACGACTAGGACGAGCAAATAACACTTACTAAATCATGATACTTTCAAATATTCTTTCTTCTTCTATAGATGTAATATGCTGACATGTGAGTTGGAAAAGAGAAAAACAATTTACTGAAAGGTATGTCCTCTCATATCAGAAGTTACGTCGGTTAATTCAGTTAGCAACGAAAACATACTTGTGAAACTTTTTCTCCTAGCGACGAAGGAAACTCGTTTATCATCTGAACATAATTATTTATTCTTTTGAGACCGAGAAAGAAAAAAAAAGATTTCAAGTAAATGATAGTAAAGAGAATTATTTTGTGTCGTTGTTCTGAGATACCGCTGTTTTGTTTTTGAGCAGAAGAAAAACACAATATTATGTCTGTATTTCTTTGCAGACAATACTGCGTATATATTTATGCCAGGCACTGAAGAAATCAATCTTGCTCCAATGAATCCATCGGTCAGTCCAAATCATTTGGTCCCAGTAACTCACGCAGGATGGTGAGTGCTAGTAACCATGCTTCGATCTATTCTTGTTTTTCTTTATATTAGGAGTCGACGAGCAAAAGTACTCCTTGGTCTCGTCGGCGTATTTGGGATGGTTGTATTTACGATTACACTCTTAGTGCCAATCCTCGTAAGTCACGATCACTATACTACTTCAACAACAACTACCAGCACTACGTCCACCACAACTACTGCGACGACCACAACTGCAACTACATCCACATCGACCACAAGTACTAGCAGTACTTCAACAACATCAACGTCCAGCACAAGCACTACTAGCACTTCCACCACGTCAACATCATCAACTTCATCAACATCAACATCCAGCACTAGCACCACCAGCACTTCAACAAGCTCGACCAGCTCAACATCGTCGACGTCCACATCCAGTACAAGCACTAGTACTACCTCGACAACTTCGACAACTTCGACTACTTCAACGTCTACGTCGACCACCAGCACTAGTACCACCTCTACAACGGCAACAACGTCGACCTCCAGCACCAGTACCAGTTCAACATCAACTAGCACAAGTTCTACTTCAACCACATCCACCTCTTCGACCAGTTCAACAACTTCAACCACAACTACTAGCACTACATCAACTGCGACCACATCAACATCCAGCACAAGTACCAGCTCAACGTCAACTAGTACAAGTTCTACTTCAACTACATCCACCTCTTCGACCAGTTCAACAACTTCAACCACAACTACTAGCACTACATCAACTGCGACCACGTCAACATCCAGCACAAGTACCAGTTCGACGTCAACCAGTTCAAGTTCTACCTCAACCACGTCCACTTCATCATCCAGTTCTTCCAGTTCTACGTCAAGTACCAGCTCGACATCGACTTCATCAACCTCAACATCCAGCAGCAGCACTAGCACTTCGTCAACTAGTTCGACTTCAACTACCAGCACAAGCAGCAGCAGTAGCACCACGTCGACCAGTTCAACTTCGACATCAACATCCACCAGTTCGACTTCTACGTCGAGCACAAGCAGTAGCACTAGTTCGACATCGACCACGTCAACTTCTACTTCGTCAACGTCCACGTCCAGTACAAGTACCAGCTCGACATCAAGCAGCTCAACCTCTACCTCAACTACATCCACTTCCACATCCAGCTCGTCCACTTCCACATCAACTACAAGTTCAACATCAACTTCATCAACATCAACAACCAGCACAAGTACCACATCAACATCGACCAGCTCGACTTCTACGTCGAGCACCAGCAGTAGCACCAGCTCCACATCGACCAGTTCCACTTCGACAACGTCCACATCCACATCATCATCGTCCACTTCGTCAACATCGACGTCATCAACCTCATCGACAACATCGAGCACAAGTACTACGACAACCACAACCATTGGTGAGTTTTGAAAAAAGGCATATGCTTTCCCTATCTGTACTCGTGTTTAGTTTTGCCAACGCAATTGGATGTTTTACCAGACACGGCTCAACCCTTGTGGAATACATTCATGGGAGGAGTCAGTACGTTGGCAACGCAAGGTTCATCTGCTGGTAATTATCCTTCGACTAACCCAGTTATTAATCTGTTTGATGGCAATCTTACATCGGAATTCAGTAGTTATGGTAATTCTACCAGCAATGATACTGTCGCTGGTGTCTATACCGGCTTCTATGTCACTGTTTCACAATGTCAACCTGTACTCATCGGGTTTCGGTTCGCCTGTGCTAACGATACTAGACAGGGCGATCCGCTCACTATCTCCATTGAAGGAACTAATTGTGACACTCTCTCGACGTGTGCTAACTGGACATCACTATATAATGGATCGTCGGGTCTCGATTTGCGAGTTGCAAGTGCAACGTACGGAGAATATCAACCGGTCTCCAATACGGCTATTTACAGTAGCTACCGCTTTTTGGTAACGAGTAAACGAGGTGCAAGTAATCTTGTGAGTTACAGTGAAGTTCAGCTATTTGGATATACAAATTATACAGGAACTCCAGCGAATGGATCAGCAAGTAAGTGATAGATTGCGAAGAGAAAGGAAACAGAAGAGTTTGATTGTCTATTTCCTGTAGATTCTTCGGTACTGTTAACACTCAAGCCAGGATCGTTAGAAGCTCTATGGGCATCAGTGGTGGGCGGAACGAGCTCACTTGCTACAGAAGCTGCATCGGGTACTGGAACATACGTAACGGGTCAGGGAGTTGATAAAATATTCGATAAAGACTTCAATACCAGCTATTCAAGTCGAGGTGATTACAATGATACAGGATCAGATAGCAATGCTGGTCTGAACACAGGTTTCTTTTTCACCATTACTCGCTGTCAGACGACGCTGAGCAAATTTCGAATTGCTCCCGGTGTGATAGCTAGCGCCGATCCGTATTATGTTATACTAGAAGGAACTAATTGTGTCAGTGCATTGAATTGTAGTAGCTGGACACCTCTCTATGCTGGCACGGCAGGTATAGGAAGTATTTCAAATCGTTCTTCGTTTGGCAATTTTGTATATATCGCATCACCAAAGGCATATCCAGGTTATCGCTTTACCGTTGTTACTAAGAGATCAAGCAGTCCTTACGCTTCATACAGTGAAGTTGAACTCTACGGTTATTAATCCTCTTTACTTTATTCATATACGTAAATTTCATGCTTTAATTTGATTTGATTTGAGTTACTGTTTTGCTCATTTAATACTTATTTTAATCACAACAAAGCTTTTTTCTTTAACGCTTGTTCTTGGTCATTTTCAGAATCTTCAATAAATTATACAGAAAAGAAACATTCTTTTATTCAACAGATGTCGTGTGAGAAATAATACGACAAAACCTCCTTCTTTGTAAATGGTTGAAAACAGTTCACCAATTGTACACAGTTGAAGTTTATCCCTATTGCTTCATCTTCCGTCGTTTCATTTTAATTTGCTTCTATTCTACAGTTGAACTCTAAAATTTTGTAATAAAAATAATGACAACAACCACTCCCGTAAACAATGCTACCAGTGATGAAGAAATTGCCTTGGAAACAACAGATAAAACGGAAAATACCTCCTCACCGACAAAAGATGACAATACTATTAGTAATAGTGATAGTCCATTCCATTTACTGGAAGGTCGTTGGACATTCTGGTACACACATCGACCAACGACGTTTCGCAATAGTGCAGTTAATTACGACTCTTGTTTGAAAAAACTCGGTTTGTTTTCGTAACGTGATTTTGACGCTGTTTTTTGAATGACTTCGTCTTGTTCACACAGGTACATTTGGTTCAATAGAAGAATTCTGGTGCTACTATGATCATATGAAGTTTCCCGGCGATCTTCCACTCTATAGGTAGGATTATCATCATCATTTGTGATTGAACTTGTTTTCTTCTTGTATTTCAGTGATGTCCACTTGTTTAAAGAAAATCTCAAACCCATGTGGGAAGAAGAAGGCAATCGTCTTGGTGGAAAATGGATTTTACGATTGAAGAAAGGTCTATCAACGCGTCTCTGGGAATTACTTGTTTTGGCTGTTATCGGTGAACAATTTAGTGTCGGAAAGGAAATCTGTGGTATTGTTTGTTCGATTCGACCACAAGAAGATCTGATTAGCATCTGGACAAAAACAGCAAACAATCAAACAGTTACACAAAGAATCAAAGAAACAATGAAGAAAGTACTTAATCTACCACAAGATTGTACGTTTCGACAATAAATAATTCAACAACGATTCATTTCGTATTCTTTAGGTCCGATGGAATACAAAACTCATAATGATTCATTACGTGATAATTGTAGTTATCGAAATACGGATCGTGTTCGATAGAAAGTCTCTGATACAGGAGCTTGTCTACACACACAGATATCAGCTGATACTTCTTCTTGCTGTTATTGTTTTTCTTATCAGCTATTTTCGTTTTCTTTTGTTCCTAGTTATAGCTGTTATCTTAGGTCTTGTTATTAACTTTGTAAAAACTATTCTTTCAGATGACCGATCATTTCTATCAGTCGGCGAATCCATTATGGTACATACCATGTGACGGTGGTCTTCTGATCTTAACTATCTTAACATTTTGGCGACATACCGTATCCTACGATGCACTGGGTTTCCTAGGTACATTCCTCAAGTATCTAGCATACAATTATCACACTCTACTTGTATGGATATTTTGGGTCTCAGTATTTCTACATGTGTTCGAAGCGACAATAGCCTGGCGCATATGTAAACGTTTAAATATTGACTCGGAGAATACTTGGCGATGGTGTCGACAAACTCTATTATTAGGTTATCCTTCGTTAGGTAAACTGAGACGATACGAAGCTGAAAAACGCAAATTATCGTAAATGGTAAATAAAACTTTCCCGAAAAATGTCCTTATTAATTAATTAATTTCTCTATTCAACTAACTCTATTCATATTCAAGCTAGCGTCTATATTTGAACAAATTACAAAACTGTGTTTTAATGTCTCTCACTTAATCATTTCAGATGGCTAATCGTTTTCAATCGCCTCATCTCCTTTGGTGGATCATTATTGGTAGTGGAATTACCATCGTGTTTCTTTTAGCTTATCTTCCATCGCTGTTACCATTGCAAAGTTTAGGAGGTCTCGGTAGTTCCCTCTCTTCGTTGATGGTAACCTATCACGCTCTTTTTGTCGTTGTTTTTTGGTCGACGGTGATTGCTCATATGTATGAAGCAGTTGTTGCTCGTCGAATTTGTCAACAACTTCGTCTTGATCAACAATCGACTTTCTTATGGATGATACAAACATTCATTCTAGGTTTTCCTTCATTGATGATACTCAAAGGATATGCTCGACAACGTTGATTGTAATTTTGCATTTCGTACGCCTAATTTATTTGTGATTTTTGTAATTCCATATTTTCATCGAATCAAATAATTATTTTCAGATAAAGAATGTCTGCATCATCAAATGATAGACAACAGCAACAATTACCTTCGATGAATCTGACGGATGCTGAATGGAAAGCCAAATTAACTCCTGAACAATATCGTATACTACGAAAAAAGGATACCGAGTATCCGGGAACCGGTGTATATGATAAACATTTCGAAGAAGGTGTTTACAAATGTTCTGGTTGTGGTCAAGATCTTTACGAGTAAGTCGACAGAGATTTATCGTAATTTTCATTCTGATATGCCAATGATTAGTTCATCGTCCAAATTCAATTCACATTGTGGATGGCCAGCATTTAGTTCGTCATTAGGTACAGCAGTTCGACGACAGAAAGATGCCGATGGTCATCGAGAAGAAATTCTGTGTGGCAATTGTGATGGACATTTAGGTCATGTGTTCGAAGGCGAAGGTCTACGCGACAGTAATGGCAAATTAGTTCAACAACGCCATTGCGTTAACTCGGCTTCATTAAAATTTCAAAAGAAAAACTAGTGCTTTTTTAATCCGTTTAACGAGTGCTCTTTTTTTTCTTCTTCTGATTTTCTTCCTTTGCGTAAAATGTCGTATATATAAGCTGCTCAGTTTCGATCAATTTTTTCTTTCAGATGAAACTCAAAGAAGAGTCGTTGAAAATAAAGAAAAAGAAGAAACAGCCCAAGAAGACTTTACCGAAAAATGTCTTCGAAATCGTTGGCGAAAGTGGTCAAATTGTCGAACGCGTAGATCCAAAAAAGAAGGAAAAGAAAGCTGATCAAATACAGGACAAGGAACCCAAGCCAACATTTAGTGAACGGACGAAAAAACGTCGAGTAAAATATGGAAACATTTTGCCAACAAATCAATATGTAGATTTCTTTTTTTCTAGCGACGTGAATGGGATGCAATGAATTACGAATCTTTTGATATAACACGTGGTCGAGATTTCGAAAAAGCTTTACAACGAGTTGCGACACGCGGTATTGTTCAGTTATTCAACACTGTTCGAAAACAGCAGCAACAACAGCATGGTTCATCATCAAAGAAAGAGAAAAAAGACACGACGATCAACAAAGGAGAGTTCCTTGATATGCTTAAGACAATTGATTCGGATGAAGTTTCATGCAAAATAATGAAGAAGAATCCATCAACGGTAAAAGAGAATGTGCTTTTGTGAGCAGAAAATATTAAGAGTGTGTCTGTTTATAGATTGAATCAACAACAAAAACAACAACACCAGTCAGATGGAATGTCTTACAAGATGATCTGATGGCAAGTGTTCAAGATAATAGTGATGATGATGATGATTAATTCATTGTTTTGTTTTGTTTTTGTTATATTCATAATAAAATATGAATATGAATCGATACTATATGTTTTAACTTTCAATTCGAAATACGTATTTCCGCTCACGTCCTTCCACTATGAGCAATACGTCCTATGAAACCGACGTCAGTGGGGATGCTCGTTATGAGGGACAGAAGGCTTTATCGTGTTATGCAAACCACTGACGTATGAAGCACATGCGTCATAATTATTCTTCTTACACGTAAAATTTCTTATTGGTTACTATGACAATAATGTTCTACCCCGTCGTCATTATTTGCCTCTCCTTGTTCTGTCCTTGTTCTTCTTTTCTCGTTCTTTTTTTCTTTTCTTTAATAGTAACGGCCTTACTAAATAAACTGAAGAGACGGTGATGAGTCATAATGAAGACAGAAAAGAAGAAAAACAACAACGCAAGCTGTATCAAAAATATAAAAGTATTAAGTGCATCTTATTCGTAAAATTATTTTTAAACAATTGATACGTGAAAGTCGACTATGTATCCAAACATTGGTCAAGGCAATCCACAACCATCGGCACCACCACAACCACCATCATCATCGAATCCTTCGGCGTTAGGAAATACAGGTGGATCACAACCTGTTGGATTCTCCAGTTTGATGGCACAACCAACAAGTCAACAACCGCCATATCCATCAGGTCCTCAAGCATCGTTGCCACCTTATAACAATCCTTATGGATCAAATAATCAACCACCGAAACAAGGCAATTTTTCGTCTTACTCTCTTCCACAAGTTGGACAACAACCACCGCCTCAGCAAGGTTAGCCAAATTAGTTATCGTTAGATAAATGTTCAATATCTGTTTTCTTTCTTTCAGGAGGTGGTGGTTATCAACAGGGACCATATCCACCTCAATCGAATCCATATTCGAATTCTAATCAACCTTCTGGATTTTCTGGTAATAACCAACCACCACCAAGTTCGTTCAATGTTTGAAATAGAACTTCTATCTAAATGCAATTTATTCTAGATAATAGTGGCTATCAAAATCCCTACGGCCCATCAAATTCGTATCCACCACAGCAAGGTAATAATTGATTTATATAATTAAATATAATGCGTTCAAATATTTTGTAGGCTTTCCCAACAATCAGAATCCCTATCGACCATCGAATCCCTATCCTCCTCAACAAGGTAAGATAAACAAAATATAAAGTGAAAGAAGACCGAAGTACTTCTTCAGGTAATTCTAATTATCAAAATCCATACGGTCCTCAACAAGGTAAACCACAATTTATTAACATTTCTCCTATAAATAATGATCATTTGTAGGTGGCTATCCTCCTCCACAACAACCACCACCACAATATCAAAGCCCATATAGTGCTAACCCACAACAAAATCAAGGTAAACCATCTTTCTCCTGCTAGTAAATTCGATTCTGCTTGCACTCGAAAGACATGGATTGTCAACTAATGCTCTATCTAACTTAAGCTTAATTGTATAATAGGCGGTTATGGAGGCTATTCGCCTTACAACCAACAGCCACAACAACAACCATATCAAAGTCCCTATAATGCTTATCCACCACAAGGCTAGTGGTTATTTCTGATTGTCTGTAGTGTATCTTATACGAATATGATTTTCATGTGTAGGTCCAGGATACAATGCTAATTCATATGGAGGACCAGGACAAAGTAAGCTTCATCCGATAGAAGTCATTGATTGAAAAATAAGACGCAAAATACCAATTGAAATTATTTAGTGAATGAACGTCTTCGTGCGATAGCAGGTCGATATGAAATCAGTGATCAACTGGCTCAGCGACTGAATATTCTTCAACAATTCGAAATTGTCGTTCTTTGCGACGATTCCGGTTCCATGAATACGCCAGTTGACGGAACAAATGGCACACGATGGGATGAACTACGATCTATTGTACAAATCGTTATCGAAATTGGTACTGTATTCGATTCGAATGGTGTCGATGTTCACTTTCTCAACCGTCGGCCTATGCCGAACGTTACCGACACTCGACAAGTTATGGAATCTTTCAGTGAACGTCCCAGCGGTCTAACACCGTTGACATCAGCTCTACGACGTATATTTCAATCAGCAGCAAGCAAACCTGGCAGTGACAAGCGTCTACTCGTCTTCGTTGCAACTGATGGCGCACCAACCGATGCCAATGGTAATGTTGACATACAAAGTTTAGAAAATTTGATGCGCAATGAACGTCAAGCAAACACAACCTATGTAACATTTCTTGCATGTACAGATGACGAATCCAGTGTATCCTATTTATCACAATGGGATCGCAATATGATGAATGTAGATGTTGTTGATGATTATAAGAGTGAACGAGAAGAAATTCGTCGCACACGTGGTCCAAATTTTCCATTTTCATTTGGAGATTACGTTGCCAAAGCATTACTTGGCTCCGTCGACCCACAAATGGATCAACTTGATGAATGGGGAAATAACAATAACAATAACTATCGACGATTTTAAAAGAATATCAAACTCTCTGTCTTTATTTCATTCATAATACTCAGCTCGAATACAACACAAACTTGTGAACAAATGATTAGAAGTTCTCTTTATATGTATTGCATTTTTTCTCTCCTTTTATTTTTATCTTTACTGAAATAAATAAATATGAAAACGAAATAACAAATCGTTTCTTAACACAATTGTGTGTTGTTTTTGGTCGAAGCACAGTTTATATTTACCTATCTTTCACAAGCAACGTGTAATATATTTTAACCTTGTTTTTCTTCATTCGTTGGCAAATATAAATCTGTGTAAACTGGGTTATTTTTACAACAAAACAAGAATGCATGCAATGAACCTAAAAGGTGCGGGTTTCGAATACTTGAATGGTTTACAATTGAATGACCTGTATCAATTAGAAGAAGAACTGAGTACCGCATGGAAGAACGGACAGTCAATCGTTTCGAATGAGATCTACGATAAAGTCCTGGATAGTGTTAATTACGAAGCCACACAATTAAAAGCTGATCCGTATAGTTTTGCGATGAAGAAAACGGAAAGAGAATTGAAAAACTTGGTTGACTTTTTAGCACAAATGCATGCAAAAGGAACGCCTTTGGTTGATAATTCAGTTTGGGATACTTTAAATCAAGAATGGAACATACGGATTTTAGCGGGTCCCAATTCCTCTACATCATACCCGTCGAATTGGATTGCAATGTCGTTGAGTGAAACACCAGTTCAGTTGATATCTCTCCCACGAGCATCGCAGGAATTTCAAGACCTTTCGAAATACTTTTCGAAATCTCTCCAGAAGACAGCCGTGGTTGTTCATTCGATAACACGTATTCAAAATCTTCGAATTTGGCACATCTTTCAAGAACTACATAAAACTATTCCAAATAATATTCAGCATCTTATTCACGGAACATCGTCACCAACGCAGCAGAAACTTATCATCCATCATGGATTCTACCATAGTTTCTGTCCAAACGGTTCTATTGGTGATGGTGTCTATTTTGCCGTCAACGCATCTTATTCAAACAATGATCCATATGTGTTGAAGCGAACTGCTCATCGACGAGAATTATTTGTATGTCGAGTTCTTCTCGGTAATTCAATGAAAGGCAGCTTTGGACTGAAATCAATTCCGCAAGATTTTCATTCCGTGTTTCATAGGGATGGTGCGATGAATGATATGTTTTGCATATTTAATCCGTATCAGTCATATCCAGAATACATCGTTCAATATGACTATGTTTAGTATTTGTAAAATTGTAACAGCACGTAATTCAATAAATGAAGTGATAAAATTCAAGGTTACGACAAACATCGCAAATCGAAATGTATTAGCATATTCACATGTCGTCAAATTTCATGTTTGACCTTCTATGAATCTCTCGATTTGCATATTGTTAAAAGGACAGTTGCGATTGATCGAGTCCAAGAACGAAATCAAACGAACTTTTTTGTAACAAAAAAACTTTGATTTACCAGTTAATCGATAGAATGGTTTGTTATCCGTCAAATAAGGGATACGCGTCGACTTGATTCTAATCATGGTGTTCGGTGTCAGTCGATTCCAGTGATATTCTCTAAATAAAAATAAAAAATACGTGCACGGCATAAAAACCTATCTAACATTTTCATGACACATATTTTTCACATCACCAATCGAAAACGATCGTATGGATGAGAAAAATCTTCTCATCGTTTTATTTTTATATCTCGACATGGTTTTATCCACTCTCATTTCTCCATTCCGCTCTCTCATCAAATACACATGTTTTCATTTTCATCAATATCTCTCATTTGCTGTATTCTATTCAGTAAGTATTCGCAAGACTTCAACTATAGAAATAACTCAATTCAACACTAATCCTAGCATGGAATCAAGTCACCAATGGTATCGCATGCTACGTCTGTACCAATTGTAACGACCCATTCAATCCGACCTATGTTGGTGTATCATATCAAAATGATACGAATTATTATTGCCGGGTAAGGATGTTATTATTCATCAATGGAATTTATCGATGTCTTCGTAACTTAGAAAATGGTGGTGGCAAACAACATCGCACGGGATATGATAACTTCTTGTACATCATCAAGTACAGCTGGTACTTCACAGTGGTGTTGTCAAACTAATCTGTGTAATAGTGCTCAAAAGAATACCTTGGGTTTTCTACTTGCGATCTCAGTGCTCAAGGTCTTCTTTTAGAAATGGATTGGATGAGATTTTACTTTCTATAAACGCTATTTCTATTCATGCTTTACCTTATTTTTCTTTTTCTATCAATAAATAAATGAATAAATGTGCTTCACCTTAGATTACTAGACATTTGCTGTTCAAACGACATTTCAGTCGGTGCATTTTCCAGGCAGAGTCGAACGTGACTGATCACTTCAGCTGGAGCATTCTTAAATTCGTTCGTTTTGTATAGTGCTTAATTACGTTGTATGCTCAAAAAAAAGAGAATATTATATTCATGTTACTCGAGACACGTGAAAGTTCATCAAAATGAAATATGTACTTATTTTAGATAAATTATCGAAAGGTAAAACGGTATAACAGACGTTTCTTAATGTAGCTAATCATTACAAGAAAATTACATGATTTCAAAAACTCAAGTAGACTTATTGAAAGTTCGGTAGTATGAAAGAACAAGAAAAGTACAAATGTTTATCATAGGTCTATAATTTAACAAGAATATTTGGTATTGAACCCCCTTCATAATCTTTATATGGACATGATGAATCTTTGCCATTCTTCTTCCATATCCATGTTGTCGGATCGACAATTGTTACTTCTTTTCCGCCGAGGTTTTTTATCCATACATGCCGTGTGGCTTGATGAGTGGTTTGACCGAGAAGATATTGAAAACCTTGTTTCTGCCGTGCGTTGTCACATACATTTTGGATCATTCGTGTAACGATACCTTTTCCACCATGTTGAGATCGAACTGCGCACAATGGAACATGTAAAACCATATTGCTTTGCAACTCTTGTCCAAAATCTCGTGTCACAAATAGATCATCCATTTCATCAAGTAAATTATCGATTGCAATCGTAGACGATAGATTTGAAATATCACGTAAATGTTTTCGTTGATATTCTAAAAAGAAATCACCAGCAATCGTTGCTCCGATGATTTCACCAGTTGAACGATGTCGTGCAAGAAGTGATAAGTGTTCAACTAGCATATCTTTCATCAATGGCCATGAACATTGATCATAGAAACATTCGGAAGAGATCTGATCAAAACATGTGATAGGATTGTGTGCACAGAATTCTTCAGCAATGAGACGCGCACACTCACGTGCATCGTTTTCATTCGTAACAGTCTCATACGCATATTCACTGTCAGCCATGTCAAGAGAAAAAAAAGAACTGAAAAGCAAAAAGTAACTACCTATGTGTCTACTACAATTATACCGAAGATTTCTCCATTTTTTCCTTTCTTTTCTTTTCTTTTCTTTCTAACAACGTGCCTAATGTAAACATGTTGTTTTTGTCAAAAATATCCGCTTTGCGAGAGCTAACCAATCATCATTTCCGCTACCTGGAAAATAAGAGCTAATACTATTTGATGCTATCATTTGATAATACACAATGGACGGATTATGAAAGTTTTGACAAAGAGAAGCAAAGATGTGAAAAAATCTATTATTCATTAGAAAGTATGCTATCATTTTAAAGTTTATTCTTTCGTTTTATTAAAAGGGAATAATCGACATTTCTTCTTGCCATTGTCATTTATATTTGTGACATCCATTACTATACAAAAAAAAGAATGGAGTTCATAAGAAGTCGAGTGTGTAGAAGGGATCTTTTAGAGTGAAATTTATCGACAAGCGAAGGTTTTTCTCGTAAATTTTAGTTTTTAAGTACTCGTTTTACTCGGAAGTAGAAAAGAAATGCAAAGCCATGTTCGTCACCCAGCTGTTGTTTGCTAATGGAAAGAAACAATTGAAAATCGCCAAAGCAAACATCCATTTTGTTTTCAGCGGAGCAAGAAACAACTGAAATATACGCAAGAGAATCTCATATTTTTCTCCATTAGCACGACTTTATACGTATCTTTATTGAAAGGCGGTAAAACTTGCCGTGAATAGAGAACAAACGCTTCTTCTTTCTCTTCTTCTATTCGCATCGATATACATCGATATTATTCATATACTATTGCAATACGAAATGTATTGATCATTACTCATACATTAACAAGTTATGTGAAGGGCATTTACAAAATATCGCTTCGTGTCCTATTTTATTGATTCGTTCTTTTTGCTTCGTTCGTGTTTATGAAAAAGAGAAAAGAAAGCGAAACACATTTCTCCTCACAGATATTGTATTCAACTATTTCTCTCTCTTGCTTCATTTTTCAATCTAATTGAGATATTTGCATTTATTTTTATTGTCTATAGTTGTGATGATTTTTTTTCTTTCTTTTCGATGTGTTTAGAAGAAAAGAAAGGTTTTACAAGTCTCACTTGCGATCACATTCTTCGTTTCTTTCTCTCTTAGTCGTAAAAGTTCCCGCACGAATGTTTATGTTCATATTCAATATCATCAAAAGAATCTGTTGGGAAGTGTATCTCCTATTCACACGACTTCCACCAAACCAAGCATGGATGGATCCAAGAGAACAAGCGTTGATGGTAAAATACATCCAAGAGTATAAAAATGAAAACAGGTACGAAACAAACTTTGAACATTCACATATTCCGATTCAATGTATAACTCAGTGTGATACATTGTTTTTGAGTTATAACGAAGTAGTTTAAGTTTCTACTTTTTTGAGGGGCAGAATTAGATTCAAGCTTGAAGTAAAGCTATGAACAAATTTCTATTTAGTAAACGACCGATTAGTATGGTTGAATATGGTGCTGGAAGTAGTACATTTTTCTTCAGTACCTACGTTGATCAATATATAAGTATTGAACATAGTCCTGATTATTGTCGTGAACTTGAACGTATGGCTGCTAGTCAACCGCATCGATCTGTAAAGATCTTTTACATGGGTCGTAACTCTTTCGGATTCTATATTAAACGCACTTATGAACAAAATTCGTCGTCACAATCTCAATCTTCATCACAAATTGAAATATATTGTGTACCACGAAATGCCTACTCGCTCACGGCTTATCGTTTATGGGCTACTGGTGGACGAAGTACATATCGAATGTATCGCGACTATGTAGATTTTCTGTCAGTATATTTTCGTGAGAGAAAATTCGATTTTGTATTCATTGATGGACGTGCTCGACCTCAAGTTGCCTATGCTATTCTGAAACAACTGAATGGTTCTCATGCCAAATTATTTATTCACGATTGGAATCAACGCAAAGAATATCACATTGTTGAACAGGAATTTTATAATATAGTCGATCAACAAATCGAAAGCAATCAAGTTGGGGGTGGTGGACTTGTTGTTTTAGAAAAAAAGTCAGAACATATAGGAGAGAGAAACATCAATGATATTCAATGGCAACATGGAAGTGAGCCAGCATGGTGGATATGAAGCATTTCAATTGTGAGCAAGAAATCACAGTTAGACGAAACTATGT